TGGCTAAGGAAAGGGACGTTTGTGATGCTTGGCACCCACGAGGAGCTGGCCTCAGGGGGCAGGGACCCCAGCTGCCATCAGAGGCCTTCCCAGGACAGCTGGGGAGGGTCGGGGCGGGTCAGCCCATGGTGTCCATGTGGAGGCCAGCTGGGCCTGTGCCGTGGAGGCAGGAGGCCGTGGAGGTTAGGACCTCGGAGCTTGGCTTGGCAGCCTCCCTCTGTAGCCTGGCTTTGCCACTACCACTGCCGGAGCCCTGGAAGGGAAGCAGCTCGGTCTCCATGCCTCAGTTCCCCCGTGAAGCAGGAATGAGGACAATGTCTGTCCCGTGCCATGGAGGGTGACAGCAGGCACACTCCCCCTCTGGCTGTTTGGACCTGTCCCTTTCCTCTTGCACCTGTCCCCTTTGTGCGTGGACAGAGGAGTGAGTCCCCCAGTTCAGCCTCCCAGTGGCAGCCTTGTGCAGCTTATGGATGCTGGCACCCCGTTTCTTCTGGGGCAGACCCCTGTACCTCCTCCTGCCGTGGCCTGCTGGACACCTGAGCTCCGTCATCTGGCTTCCCAGGCAGCGACATGAGCATGGTGCATCTGTCACAGTGTGGGTTTGGGTAGGGACTCTGTCCCCCCAGGCGGCCTCAAGCTCTCCGTCCAGCACACAGTGGACATTGATGAGGCCCAGTCTGAGCAAGGATAGCCAGTTCCACCACCAGCCCGGGGCATGACCTCTGCAAGTGCCCAGTTCTCTGAGCCTCAGTGTCCCCTCCTGAGAAGGGACTCCAGCCAGGGTGCCCATTCCGGGAGATGGACAGTGAGTCCCTTCCCCGTGTCCACACCCGGCCCTCCTCTGCACCAGCTGCAGGCAGTCCGCTTCACTCAGAGCCGCTTCCAGCGGCTGCCAAAGCCCGCAGCGCGGCTCACGCCTCTGACACATCTAAAATAACTTGGCTGATTGGGCTCCCTGCTCATCTTTTCCTACCATTTTCTTAAATTGCATTTAATTGTTTTCGAATTGACTCTTTAAAAATAAATTGTTAGCTGGAGTCACTTCTGGAGTGTCTGCCTACTCCTGCACGGGCAGTCCTGGCCGGGCGGCTTCCTCGCACTGGTTTGCGCATGCTGGCTTTGCTCCCGGCTGGCTGCTTGGTGGCCCCTCCACAGGGGCAGGACACAGGCAGTGGCAGCACAGCCTTCTGAGGTCAACTCTGGCCAAGGAGGGATACTTGGCCATCTGTCTTCCAGACTTCCTTCCCCGCTCCGCGAGCTGGAAGCTATTTCCTGTTTCATCCCCAAGGAAATGGGGAGGCAGAGAAGGACCGAGGAGAGCTCTCCTCCTCCACCCGCCCCCGCCTTGTCACCCCAGCCAAGCACCCCCACACGTGCTTGGCGCCCCTGCAGAGCCAGCCATCTCCTTGGCAACAGGCCTCCTTCCTCCAGGCAGGGCTGGCTGCCTCGCCAGAGCCCTCCCCCCAGACCCCCTTGGGCACCACCCAAGCCCTCTCTGAGTGGGGCACCCCAGGCTCCAGAGAGCCCCCACCCTCGGGGCTGTGGGTGGAATTTTAAATCCCTGAAGCTCCTTACAAAGCGCCCATGCGGTTAGTTAAACCTCCTAAAATAATTGCAGCCAGGCAATTACTTCTTTCAAAGGCGTTCGGAGGTGTTAAGATCCTGCTCATATTTTTTTGTGTTAACAGGAGTCCTTTTGTGCCGGAGCCTGGGTTGGCATCCTCCCAACAGGTGCTCCTTGGATAGGGCTTTGAGCACCCTCCCCGTGCTCCCCGCCCCCTCGGGCTGGCCTCCCACACCTGAGGGAGCCACAGGAGCGGAGCAGAGGCGCAGGAAGCAAGTGTCAGCATTTTCCGATTCCCAGCAGAAAGGAAGAGTAAATTAGCAACGCAAAGCATTTTCACTGCCCCAAGCCAGGCCTGGCTCACAGGGCCGGTTGCATCCCTGACCCTCTCCAACCACCCCCGCAATGGCCTGAGCACGAGGCGCTCCTGCCGTGCCTAAGTTGCGCCTGGCTGTCTGCAGAGTTTGCCTCATCTGCCTTCTCCCCTCCTCCCCCACTCTGCAGCTCTCCTGGGCTACCCTTCCCTCCTCTGCTTTTCACTCTGAGCAGAACTTTTCAGCACAGGGATAGGCTGGCTCCGGCCAGTGGGAGTGAAAGGCAGGACAGAATCAGAGCTCTGAGCCCCCCTGGAGGCAGCTCACGTCTCTGCCTGGGAGCCCCCACCCCACCATGAGAAGGATGTTGTCACAGTTCAGATCAATGGTGTCCCCAAGTCCTTCGTGTGGAAGGTGACTAGCGCGTGGGGCCTCACGCCCATCCAGAGAGCCATCTATGCATTCGCTCATGGCTGGCCGTGCTGTGGGAGGTGTGTCCTGCTCAGAGCCGGGTCACCAGGGTATGACCTCGAAGGGTGTTTCTGTGTCCCTGATTTCTCCCTTCCCTGTTTCCTGGTTGCCATGGGGTGAGAGATTTCCTGTGCCAGGCTCTTCTGCCATGATGCTCTTGCTTTGGAGCCAAACAACCAGAGACTGAACCCCCTGAAACCATGAACCAAGATGAACTTCTCTTCCTTTAAACTGTGGGTGTCAGGTATTGTGTTCCAGCAACAGGAGCATGGCTGAGACAGATAGGCAGTGGTGGTCCACTGTGCACAACCTGGGGGCTCGTGGAGAAGAGCTGCTTTGACTCATAGCCCAAGCCACACTCAGCTGGCTCAGCTCCAGGCTATGACAGTCCAGAACTCAGGAGAAAGGAGGAAGGACTTCTGTCGCAAGTCACTGCATGGGGCAATTTGTTATGCAGCACTGTGTCCAGAGCTGACAGATGCAAACTGGTACCAGCTCTTACCCTTCAAATGCAGCAGGGCTTGGCCAGAGCTGGTTACCTGGCCATGCCCAGGAGGCTGCTCCCTGTAGACATGATCCAATGCTAGGGACCTGTTTGTCTGGGTGCCAAGGGGCAGGAAGGACATCCTGGAAGTTCACAAAGCTAGCTTGGGTATGCATCCAGATGGGGAAGAGTCCAGGGGTGCTGCCTTCTCCTCCCTCCCTCTCTCCATCTCTTGCCTCCAGGATTCTTCCAAAGACCTCCTCCACTCCATAATCCATGGTCCTTTCCCTGGCAAATCACCAGGAGCAACATGGTCCTTCCCCTCCTCCCCCCTTCCTCCTCCTCCTCATCCCTCCTTCCTCTACCCTATGGCCCTACACCCCGGTGACATACTCTAAGCAGTCTCAGTAGAGCTGCGTCCTGGGGTCTGTCCTCTCGGGGCTCCATAAACATCAAGTTCTGCTCATTCCCATCCCCCACAACCCCTAGAGCCTGGGCCAGATGCACGGGGCATCGAGGAGCAGCAGGGGCCGCGGGGCCTCCTGAGGACCGACCCCGGCCTTCCTCCCCAGTGCTAGCCAGGCTGAGAGGAGGCAGGCATGCAGGGCTCCGGCCTGAGGACTCCCCTTCTGCTGCTCCATTACCCATGGCTCCAAAAACTGAAGCGAAAGTCCAGGCTGGCGAGGTTAAACAGCACAGACTTCTGGGTGGGTGACGGAGCCTCCTTTTCTTCTGCTCAGTGCCCCTGGAATCAGCCCCATCCGGAGTACCCACAGCCTATCTGTCAGATGTCATTCTGGTCACAGACGATGCCTGGTGTCACAGAGCTTGGGCACCAGTCTGCTGATTTATTTACTAAGGATGCCAAAGCATAAGAGGAGCCTCACTGGCCGTTCACACGCTTTGTTTTGTGGAGTACCTGAAACTGAACTCACGGTCTTGTGCATCCAGGCAGGCGCTGCACTGTTGAGCTGTACCCCAGACTTGATTTTGTTTTTGAGACAGGGTTCACTGTGTGGTCCAGGCTGACCTTGAACTCACTGCATAGCCTAGGCCAGTCTCTGTTGGTGGCAGTCCCCCTGCCTCAGCTTCCTAAGTGCTGGGACCAGGTGTGCACACCGTGTCTGGCTTTGGTGTGTTGTTCTTAGCGCTCTGTTTATTGGGAGTTCATCTCTCATTGCAACTGATTTAGAAGCTGAAGTTTACCATGGGTGCCTAGGTTTGGGAATACAGCACAGTGTGTGTGGGATGGGCACTCTCTGCAGCCTGGGATGCACCCCGTGGGGTGGGAGGTGGCTGCAGTTCGCCCTGGGAGCAAACCTTGGCACTTACTTCAAAACGGAAAGCTGGTGATTCCTGGCGGCACATGGACTCCACGGTCCTGTAGCTCTCAGGACTGTGAATGGAAATTTTATGCCTTGGAACCAAGATCTCGCACTTCCAGGGCTCTGGAAGAAAATGCCTGAATCACTGTGGCCAGATTAACTCCCTGTGAGCCAGTACCTCACAACAGGGGGGCGAGGCGAGAGCGGGAGAGGGGCTGGACCGACCCGGGTGTGTGACATGCGTGCGCACAAACTGGCTAAGGGAGGCACTGATTTCTTCAGGTAAATAACCCTGTTTTAACTCAGCTGCAAACTGATTTTTGTGTTCACACAAGTGAAAGTGTGACTCCTGAGGGAAACACTTGTTTCGTGTCTTAACACTACACGGTAGGAGAGGAACTCCCTCACCCATGGATTTGCTCTCCTTCCACATCTTCACTTTCTCACTGCCTGGCTGGGCGCAGTGGCTCACAGCTGCAGTTCCAGTTACACAGGAGGCTGAGACAGGAGGAGCCCCCTGGGGACTTAGGGAAACCCTGTCTCAAATTCTAACAGTATAAAAGGCCCGGCCTCCCTGGGCTCAGTCCCCAGTGCTAGGATGTGCAAAGGCTCTGTGCCTTGTTCCTTCTTAGTACACATTTGAATTAGATGAAAGACGGCTGCATTCCTTGCGTGGAGTTGGCGTGTACACAGCTCCGCTCCCCACCCGTGTCTCGGTCTCCTTCCCATTTGCAAAACATTTGTCTCCCTCTTTCCTACTGTCTGCCTCTTATTTTGCTCTTTGATTAACTTATGAGTTTCCCATATAAGAGAAGCCAGCATGTTTAAGCTTGAGTGTCTCATTTAATTCCCTTAACATGGCAGTCTCAGGCCGCACCCGGTTCCCTGCAGGGACTCGAGTTTGTCCTTCTTTACAGCAGAGCAGTGCTCCACCTGCCACCCGCGGTGGACACACCAGCTGCTGCCCAGGGTCAGCCACCATGAGCTGCGCCACTGTGAGCCGAGGTCTGCATTGTTAAAAGCCTATCTGGAATCTTCCGTGCCTGGAGCCAGGCTGCGCGGGGCATACATTAGCCAGGGAACCTCATGCCAAGCAGCTACGCTGATTGGACTCCTTTAAAGGAGAGAGACCAGAGATGCAGTCAACGGCAGGCAGCCCCGGATGGTGGCATGGAGCGTGCCAGGACCCATCCTGCCGATGGGGCAGGGCGAAGCCAGACGGGCAAGGAGTGTGGTGGCCCCCAGCCAGCCCTGGTGGTGCTCAGGAGGCCCAGGGCTCGCTGTAGTCAGTGAGGGAACGGCTCGACCGCGTGATGGCTCAGAAACCTGGAAGGGAAAAAAACGGTGGGCATTACAGGAAGACAGAAAGAAGAAAGCAGAAATCGCTCCGTATCTCACTGCTCAGCAGCAAGGGTCACCGCTCTTCTTCTTGTACTGGGGACGGAACCCAAGGCCTTCACATTAAGCTGCTCCCCAGCCCTTCTTATTTTTTATCTTTGAGACAAGTTATTGCTATGTTGCTAAGTTGCCCAGGCCAGGCTTGAATGTGCAGTCCTCCTGCCTCAGCTTCCCAGAGCGCTGGGATTTCATGCATGTTTAGCCTTTCGATAGACATCATCCCCACCCCAGCTCTCCAGCTGCTCACAGTGGGCACCCTGTGCTCTCTTCTCACGCAGGGGTCCCTCCCCTCGCCCTCCCACCCCTCCCCCTTCCTCCTTCCCTTCCTTCCTTCCTTCCCACACTCAGCAGGCTCCAGGCTCCTCCAGCCCTGGGCCTGCCCATCACACTCAGCCTAGCAGTGTCCCTGGCACTGAGTCCCTCACACTGGACTCTGGAGAGCCTGTGAGAGCTTGGGAAACAGGAGCCAGCTGGAGAGAGAAGCAGGGCTGGAGAAAGGGCTGGCAGCCCAGGGGTACTGGGGAGGGCTTGTAGGGCAGGTCTGCTGGGGTTCACAGGGTCTGGAGAAGGTGGGGGAGGAGGGCAGGGCGAGGGCGTGGCAGCCACAGCCCTGCCTGGAGTGGGCGGTGAGGAAAGGAAGACTGAGCCCCCAGGACACTGCTGATCTGGCCCGGGCAGGTGTCCTTCTCTGGGCCAGGTGACTTCTGTCCCACATGGAGTCTACCGGGCCTGGGCACTGAGACAGCCTCTTGCTCTGGACCCCACTTCCATCACCAAACCAGAGCCAGAGTGTCCAGCGGAGGGTGAGAGGCCACCCTGCTGGAGGACAACTGGGGTCCTTGGCAGGGGCAGGGACCTGGGCCTGTGGCATCCCTTAATGGACTTCAGCCTTGAGACACCTGTGCCAGCTCTGCCTGGCATCTAGAAGTAGGAAGTTGTGGTGTAAGTTGTTTCCCCAAGGCCTCAGGACAGGATCAGTGCTGCCCCCAGGTCCTCAGCCAGCACCCACCCACAGCTGCCCTGCCCATGGGCACAGCGCCCTCTTCACCTCTGTGGATGGGGTCACAGCCCTATACCAGCTCAGTGGCCAAGCCGAAGCTGACGGACAGCAGCCTGGCAGTGCCCTCCCCACTGTCCTGGCCCCACCAGCTCCCCACCAAAGTGCCCTGGGGCTCCCCACCAAGCAGCATCCTGGAGCATCCTTTTGTCCCCAGAGGCAGTGTTTGCTGAGAAAGCAGGGAACCCAGGGACAGAGGCCTACAGGTATCCGGGCAGCGAGCAGGGCCCACATGGGAGGTGGGACATTTGTGCACAGCTTGCATCACCATAGAGATCTGCTGCCACCAGGATGGGATTCCAAGATGACACCCACGTGACACCCTGGGTCCACGGCTGGAAAACAGCCTGACGGGTCCTCCCTGGGCACACAGCCACTGCACTAGCCCTGGGGACACCGCAAGTGTCACTGGAAACAGAGGCAGCATCGCCACGGGCCTCCACTCCCGCGACAGGCCCTGGATCTCCTGAGCTGTCCCCCATTTCACTGGGTGCAGTGAAGGTAGCAGGAAGTGCTGCTCAGCCTCCTGCTGTCCTGCTGGTTCTGCCCACGTGAGTCCCAGACCCAGGCACAGCCTGAATACACGCGTCCCTGGCTTTCTGTGAGGCTCAGTGTAAGCCCAGTGCCAGCAGAACATATGCTCCTGATTTCCGGGCCTGTGTTCCTGGTTTCCAGGACCAACCCAGGGCTTTGTTGAGCTCTTGTAAATCCATTTGCTGCTGTTTCTCCCTCTGAGTCAGAAAGCAACTTTTTTATTGTTTTGTTTTAAACAAAGCCAATGAACTGGAAAGAGTGGAGTTCAAGTTTCAGTCAAAATAACCCAAATAACCACTCTGCATTCAAGGTGGGTGGGTGAGGCAGGCTTTTCCTGTGGGACACAACACTCCACACCCACAGTTAAAGGAGGAGCGGTTTATTTTGGCTCTGGCCTCCGAGGGCTCAGTCCATGGTCATCACCATGGTGGCAGAGTATCACGGAGGATCATCGTGACAGAAAGGGACGTGCAAACAGAGCTGCTTGGCACCTGGCGTGGTTGGCAGAGTAAGCCAGGAAGAGGTCAGGAAGTGACAGACCCATGAAGACTTTGTCTCAGCCAGGACCCATGCCCAGGTCACACACAGTCATGGATTCGTCCGCAGTGCGAGCCACAGAGGAAGGAGAGCTGCCCTGATCCAGTCCCCCAAGGCCACACCTCGGAACACAGGCAGCGTCCCTGCTCCGTCCTCTTTCTCACCAGAACACACCGTCAGCCTTGCCTCTGTGCAGGGGCTGATAGCCACGGGCTGGTTCCTCACAGGAGCAGCACCCAGCACTTGGAGCTGGCAGAGAGAGGGTCCCCAGGGCTGCTGTCTCCTGGGACATCATCTCATCCTTTCCTCCAGCACCCAGTCACGGTGAGGCTGGCTGCCAGAAGCCAGCTCCGTGGAAAGAGGCTGGGGCCTGACTGCTGCCTCTGGCTCTGGGGACCTGGTGGGACCCAGGGGCCGGAAGTCCAACCCAGACTGGACCTGGAAGCTGCACAGATCTCCACTCACCCAGAGAGTATGGAGTGCATGTTTCAAAATTGACGAGAGCGGGTTGCAAGTAGCCCCAGGCCCGAGGCCACACAGCTAGCTGAGTGAAAGTCTCACCCACCGAGGGTCCTTCTCCAGCACCAGGAGGAGGGGTGCAGTGAGCCCCAGAGCACAGAGCGAGTGGGCAGTCCTGAAAATAAGTTAGAAGAGAGAAAACACAGGTATGAGAGACTTGGCTGAATAAAAACTCAAGGCAACCGAGTGCCTCAGCCATCTCTTCCCCTCGGGGACCTGCTAGCACCCTTGGGCAAGGCTGAGGGTCCTTGCGTCCTTGAAGGTGACTCACTCTCCTGGGGTCTGGCCTGGGATGGGACCCAGAAGCCTATCTGTACCCCACCCACAGAGGTCCAACTCCCACCCCAGGTCCCAGGTGTGAGCACATAGCCTGCCTGCCCCATCCAGCACCTACTCTTGGGGGGCACACTGCCTCCATCTCAGCCAGAGACCCCTCTACATGGGGAGCAGCTCCTCTCCTGCTCCCCTAAAGGATGCATCTGCCCAGGTCCCCTTAGCAGACTGGGCCGCAGCCTCACTGCCACACCGTGAGGTACAGGCCCCCTGGCTCCCTGCAGGTCCTGGCAGGCTAAGAATCACAGAGGAACCCCAGGACTCAGGTGGCACACCCCAGGGACGCCCTCTGTGACAAGTGCCATTTGCATTCTAGAGTCAAGGACACGTACCCGTCCTACCCTGTGCTACGGTGTAGTGAGCCCCACTATGCTGGTGACGGAAGCTGGGACTTCCCGCCCAGCTGGGCTGCACATTGGAGAGACAGGCACCCCATGTGACTGGTGTTGCCGTACCTGGGTCCTGTCTTCAGCTCTTCGGCGGTGTCCTAGAGTGGGAGGCCGGACAGAAGGGGAACTTGGTCAGGAAGGACCAAGGCTTGCCTGGAGGATGAGGAAGCCCTGGGCAGAAGGAGCTGGGGACGCCGAAGTACTGGAGCCGGGAAGAACCTGAGGAGGGGCAGGCAGGGCTCCGGCGTGAGGGAGGGTCTCTGCATGCCGGGAGGAGGCCAGCTGGGGTCCCATACCCATGGGGTCATCTGCGCTGAGCGGATTTGGCAGGAAGAGGCCACTTGAGTGCAGAGCTGCAATCGTTGAGGAACAAAGGCCCAGGGCGCTCATGAGCATCGGAAGCACTGCCCCAGGGGTCAGGATGAGCCCTGCAGGCCCTAGCCACCCTCTCTCCCCTGGGTCCTGGGATCATGTTCAAACCTAGCCTGGGGCGCCTGGGGCCCCTGCGGCAGCAGGAGGAAGAAACTGAGGCCCACAGCAGGCGGAGGCTTGGTCCAGCGTAGGCCAGAGTAGCGGGGCCCCTGCGCATGAGGGCTGCTCTGGCTGGGCCAGGTGGACATGGAGAGAAGGTTCTGTCCCTCAGCCTACAGAACTGGCCCTAAGGAGTGGACGGCTCCTGCTCTGGGCCGCCCGCGACACACCTGCTGCCCTCTCCCAAGACAGCCATGCCGTGACCCATTTTCTCCCCAGCATGGCTGGAATCTGCCCACAGGCCCTTCCTGTCCCCTGGCCTAGCTCTTGCCTGACACCGGCTGGTTCAATTTAAGCCTCCTGCTGGGTCAGCAGATTTGTAAACCACAGGTTTCTTCAATTTCTTTGAAAAGAAAAAAAGAAAGGAAAATCGCTTTCCAGAGGATTATATTTCCTCCCAATTCATCAAGGCTGCTGGGCCTGGCCGAGGCCCAGGCCCTGCTGGACAGTCGATCTCAGCAACTCCCGTGCCCAGACAGGCCCTAGTGTGTCTCAGGTGCCCAGCTGGGATCGACTTCTGCCAGGGTCACCTGTGGGGCTCCCTGCCAGGACCTTGTAGGCCTGTCCTGGGCCAAGAGGTCACCGTCTGTCTGTCCCCAACTTTGCCTCCCTGGTGTGGACGGTGGCATCCAAGTGATCCGGAAGTGGTGAGGGGCCGCGTTCTGGCGCCCACCCCTGCAGGCGTTGGCCAGCTCTTCCTGTGCCCACTCTGCCCCCGTGTTTGTGGCCTTGCCTGTTCTGACACTGCATGTTCCAGGGACCACACCATTTGTGGGATTTCGGGACCAGCTGGTTTCCATCAGCATGACATCCTCAAGGCCTGAGTGAGGACTGCGTCCTCTTTAGGGCTGAAGACTGCTCCGTCGCATGCTCAGGTCACATTTGTATACCTGCTATCCGTGGGTGCTCTGGGGGAGCCTCCACCTTTGGGCAGTGGTGACTAGTATTGCTGGGAACTTGGGGTGCACCTATGTGCCTGGGTTCCTGTCCTGGGGGTGTCCTAGAGTGGGAGGTGGACAGAAGGGGGACTCAGCAAGGAAGGACCAAGGCCTTGTCTGGGCATGAGGAAGGCAGAGGCAGGGGAGGCTCAGGGGTACAGCAGAGCGGGGCAAGGCTGGGCTTGGGAGGATCGCAGGTGAGCACGGGGTAGGTGGTGGGTGTGGGGCAAATGGTGGGCAGCTGGGAGGTCACAGACCTTGTTCCTTCCTAGCCTGCTCCCTGGCCAGGAGGGGAAGCTGCCCCAACCTCTGGCCTCCTCACCCCAGCGCCCCAGTCACACGGCTGCCGCCTCTACCCACCTGTCCTCCAAGCCTCTACCTCCTGGCCACAGCCGGCCCCATCTCCCACCACAGTGCCTTTTCTCTCCTCCCTGAGTCACACTGTACCATGGGCCCCCTGGTGCAGGGCAGGGTCTGGAGCAACCTGGGTGCAGACTGATGCCCTGCAGAGTGGGCATAGCTGGACCAGGAGATGCCAGGGGCTCAGAACCTCTGAGGCCTGGGGTCTGTGGGGAAGGGGCAGCAGCCAGGTGGGAGGAGGCTCAGAGGCCTGGCCAAGGCAGAGTGGGTAGAGGTGCTGCCCATTCCCTGTAGCTGCCCGACTCTCCCACTGAATGGGAGCTCCCAAAGGGCACCCATGTCCCTGCTCGATGCCACCTCTCCAGGATGGAGATAGCTGGGCACGTGGACACCTGGGAAACAGCTGTGGGACAGAAGGTTAAAATCTCTGTGGCTGTTCTGATCCGAGATCCCTCCTGGCCGTTCTCCACAGAGGAGCGAGCTGAGCATCTCAGGGTGCTGATAAGCAAGTGACCAGTCCCCCAACACTGAGACACCAACAGCAGTCCTTGGCACTGGATGTTGCAAATTTCCTGGATGGAACAGGGAAGGTCCGGCACAGCTGAACCTGGTCAGCCGTGTAGATTCTGCTGGGACGCAAGAGCAGGAGGAGCCAGGACTAATCTGTTCCCTTGGGCCACCCCACCAAGCAGCTGGGCCCTCAGCTGGGTGCAGAGGTAATGACCTCTGCCCACTCCCACACAAGAGCCAGGCTGGGCACAGCTCGGAGGCAGAGCCCTGCCCCAGTTTGATCCAAAGAAAAAAGGAATCCAGCTGAGTAACACGGAAATAATGATTATTTTCCCCAAAGCAGAGTTCCTTGTTTAGCAGCTAAACAACATGAAAGCAGCTTAACTGCTACACAGCAAAATAAATAACTCCCAGCCCCAAACTTCTCGGGCCCCTGGCTTTAATCTCACTACCAGCAGCCCCTCCTCGGGGCTTAGGTTGGGCTGGGGCTGCGTTTTTAACTGGCCAGAAGTGACGGCCAGGGATAATGGTCAGCAATCCTGCACACACAAGGAAGCCCAGCCAACAGGGCAGTGGGCGAGGCCATGGTCTTCCCTGTCCTGTTTTTGTGTGTCACCTGCAGGGGCATCTTTCCAAAGCAGTGAAGGGCACTGACACTTCAGGGGCCTGGGATGAGAGTGATGTGTGCAGGTACCGCTGGGTCACTACACTGTGCCATCATTTTGTCCCCGTGATGCTGCCCAGCTAGAGGTCACCACCGTTTCCATGTACTGAGGGGGGCAGGCCTGGTCACTGCCCACTGCCCACTATCCCTGAGGCCCAGTGACACACAGGTGACTGCTATATCCACATGCCCAGCCCAGGCTGGACTCCGTTGGGGCTGGAAGTCACAGAGCCCTGTGGCTGAGGACCTGTGACAGGGCGGGCTCCCGGGCTGCAGGTGCGCTTTCTCCTGGGAGGTGGCCTCCTTGCGGGGGTTATTTCCACCCACGGTGGAATAATTGCAGGGAAGAGGGGAGAAAATGAAGCTGGAGGAATCACGGATTAGAGAGAAGCCGGCCCACTTCCTCCAGGTCCCCGGCACGTGCAGAACCCTGAAATCATCAGTGCCTTCTGCCAGCTCCAGAGGGGGCCCAAGAGGGAGCAGATCTCCAGGTGGAAGTAGGTCCAAATCTTGCCTCCCACAGGCCCAGCCTCCAACTTCGGGGAGCCCCTGAGCCCAAAGTCCCTGTCCACAGTGGGAACCCTCACAGAGTCTCTTGCCCTTAGCTGCAGGAAGCCCCCACCTAATGAGTAGAGCCCTACTTCCTGTCTCACCCACCACAGGTCTAGTTGGTGGGGCTGGTGGAATGTTCCAGAAGACACTCCTCCCACCTTGTGATGACAGCCACCCCCTCTAGGACAGCCTGACCAGAAACAGCCACCAGGAAGCTTGGGGGGAGAGGGCAGGGTGGGCCCAAGGGGCTCAATGACATGGGTCACACAGCCAGCTTAATGCTGGGGGTGGCCAAGGCCTGCAAGAAGCTCTGGTTCCTCCCAGGATGAGGCTCCCCAACTCTGTGGCTGACACCCACAGCCACCTTCTCTCCGGAGCACGAGTGGCCCTGGGTCCCAGCCCTGGTCCTGCCACGCTCTCATTCTTGGACATCTGCCCCCCACAGTGCCCCGCACTGGTCAGGGCAGCAGGGATTACAGTGGCTGTCGCTGCAGAGCCGCAGGCCTCTCTGGGTCTCTAGCCTTGGCAGGAGCTGAGGGCTGCTCTGCTCCAGGCCCTGAGGTGCAGGGGAGCCTGGGCTATGCACCCCATGCACCCTTGCTGCCTCTGTCTCCCCACAGGAGCTCCACTGGGAGCTGCTAGGCCTGGAGTAAGGACTGGGTCTGAGTCCAGGGGAGACAGCAGAACCCCCTCTGAAAGGGTAGGTGCCGCTGTGGGTGGGCTTGGGCACTCACACGGGGACCTGGGATGCCTGAGACAGCCTTGAGCTTTACCCTGATCCTGTATCACCTTTTTACTTGTGAATGGAGAAACTGAGACCCCCCCCACCATAGGGCCCCCAAGGTCACACAGTAGGTCATGGGAGTGGACAGGAGCCACCCTCGGGCGAGGTCACTGATACACTTTGCCTGCACTCTGACACCTTGCGTCCCAGAGACCTCCACCCCCAGAAGCCCTTGGATCGTGACCCATGGAACAGGCCAGCTGGGCAACAGACACTCCCAGCCTGGAGCTGTGTGGCCCTGCCTAGAGGTCTCCCTCTGTGTGTGTGCCCAGTGCTCCTGGGGGCATGAATTAATGGCCAGGGCGAGCGCCCACCCACCTTGCCTCAACACCCAGGTGGCCACCCCCACTCCAGGAGGGAAAGAAGGAGGCAGCTGAGCTGGAACTGCAAGCAGGGAGGGCCAGAAGGGACCCCGCTTCCAGAGCAAGGGAAGCGCGCCTGCTCCTGCAGGGACTGAGCGAGGGGAGAGGACCAGGACCCTGGCACAGCCCTGCCTGGTCCCTAAGAGACAGCCCAGAACCAGAGCCTGGAACAGCACCTCACAGGCCACAGGAGGGGCCTGGGCAGGGGACAGGGCATGGAGGACTAGCGGTGCTGGGATCGGCCCAACTCCCCTGACCCACTGAGGTGCTGACCTGGCCTGCCGGATGCTGAGTGCCTGATCCTCCTTCTCCCCGAGTCCCTGGGAGGTGAGCGCTGTTATATTCCATCCCTCTGTCTCATGGAGGAACTGGACCCAGTGATAAGCCCTGAGAGTGGACACAGCTCCAGAACCTGGCCAGGGGCGGAGCAGCCAGGCCCCTGGCCCCTGTGACTTCTTGTGCTGAAGGTGATCCCAGGAGAGGGCCAGGCAGAGTGCGCACTGGCCCAGCCTGCACTACATACCAGCAGACAGACACCCGGTTGGGCAGAAGGGACACGTGGGGACAGCCTGGTGGGGGCTGGGGCACTTGATGCAGCAGCTCATAGAACTGCGTGGGAATGGCTCGCTGATTGCCACTGGGAGGGGGTTCAAGCAGACGCTGACTCTTGCTCCACACTGTGGCAGCGTTTGGACCCCATGACTGCGCTTCCTAAACCCCAGAGGCCCATTGTGGGGGGGCTGCCTTGCAAAGATTCACCAAAGGGGTGTAGAGAGCCCAGGAAAACAGAGTCCCGGGGCCTGGGCTCACAGGTGGCATTTCCAGAGACCTGCACACTGCACCTGTGCTTGCATAGGCCTCTCCCACGTGTGCACACCTCCCCACAAACACAGGCTCCACACACGATGTGGTCACATGGGGCACGGCTGACCCAGAGCACTTGGAAGACCAGGTAGGGCAGAGGTGAGGCTGAAGGTGACCATCACCAGCTCTCCCTGTGTCCAGGGCCACCACAACAGGACAGACAGGGCCCCATGCAATTGAGGACACCAAAAACTGGAAGATGCCAATGTCCGCCCTGGTTCCAAGGTGCCCATCTCATCAAACCCCATCCAGCCTGCCGAAACTCTGACTTAGTTCAGCAAAGTTCAGTCAATTAGTGCAACAGAAATACAAATCCTTTCAGCTTGTTTTAGCTCAGAACAGTGTTGAGCAGTCTCCCAGGCCCCAAGCACAGCTGTCCAGTGAGGAGCTGGCTGGAGTCCCCACACTGTGCAAGCCACCGTCCCCCTCCTGTCTCTGTCCTGCATAGTGCGTGGGCTCCTCCCCGCCCAGCCGTGCTGCCTCTCGGTCCTCGGTGCCGCAGAGCTGTCCTTCTTACCATCTGCCCCTTCTTCGCCACCACCCTTGGCCTCACAGTCTCTCCAGCCTCAGGGCTGTCTGGCACCTCCAGGCTCAGTGCAGTGACGGGCATCACAGCCCCCTGCCCAGAAGGGATGCTGAGGGCCAAGAGGAGACACGTGGCAGCACTGTCACTTCGGGGGCCAGGAATCAGGACTCCTCCTGGCACCTCCAGCCTCCTCCTGCCCCAAGGGCACCAGCAGACAGCTGTCCCACCCAAGGCCGCTGCTCAGTGTCCTCAGTGCCCTCTGTTCCCCTCAGTGCCCTGGTATGCCCTGAGTACATCCTCTGAGACTGCCCCCCCTCCCCTCCAGGGTCCTGGGGACCCTGCCGTCTCCTCTTCAGGAGAAGGGCTACATCCCAAGCCCCATGTCTGGCCTTGGTTCCCCCTTGGTTGGTGAGCCCCATCCCCACCGGCCTGCTCCTCCTGACTTATTCTGCAGGTTGATGGCCTTGGGCTGGTTTCTACCAAAATCATTAATAATTCCAAATATCTGATAAGGACTCTTCCCCAGCCCCGTGGGTGTTGTATGACTCTGCAGGGCTCTGATTTGGAGAGGTGAAGCCATCTTTGCACAGGATGGCTCAGCCTCTGGCCAGAACTGTGGACTTCAAGGGCTTGGCCCCATGTCCGAACTCCCAGAGGGAACAGGTGAGGCAGAGCCAGTGCCAGGGCTCTCTAGGTCTGTTTGTTGAATGATTATGTGAGTGCACAAGGGGAGGTGGTTTGCTTGTCTTTAAGCAAATTATTTTGATTATACAAATAATTGACATGTAGGGTAAAATTATAAAAAACACAGAAAAAAAGTGAAAAATACCCCCAACTCCCCAAAGAAAACTTCCATGAGAATGTTAGTGTCATTTTTTTCATAAAGGCTTTCAGTGTGTGCGTACATTACCTTTTGTACATAACATTTTCCTGTTTATTAAATATTCATTTAAAATATTTTGTATAAAAAACTTATGGAAATATTCAAACAAATACAGAGAACTATATAATGACCACCACGTGTCTATCCCCAGCTTTAAAAATTATCACTATTTTGCCACCCCTACATCACCTGTTTTTACTCACGTTTACTTTTGCTTGTTCCCACCCGTGTCCAGATGTCCCCGAGGCTATTGGCGGGGCTTTTTCAGAGTGGGCTGAGTCTAGAGTGTGTGATCTGGATCACGGCTGGGATCAGTGCAGTGCTAGGCGCAAGGCACTAGGGCCAAGGGTGTGCACGCTGCCTGCCCTGAGCAACCTGGGAAAGATAAAGGGGCAGAAAGAGCCTTACAGCCCTCCCTTGTGGACTTTGCCCTGCCATGGACTGTTTCTCCCTGTGAGCCCCTCTGCCACGCACCCTGCCTTACAGCCAGCCGGCTATGGACTGAAACCGCTACAAACTGTGAGCTAAATAAGCCTCTCCCCTTTTAACTTTGGATGTTGGGTATTTTGTCTCAGCAATGAGAAGATAACAGAGACATCGGTATAACACAGTTATGGACTGAATAGCGTGCCCCAAGGAGGTATACACTGAGGTCCCAGCACCTGGGACCCCCAAAGTGTGAACTTGTGTGGAAACAGGCCTCGAGAATGCCCTTGGCACAGGGGCAGGTCCTTGACCCTATAGCTCTAGTGACCTTGTGAGCCGAGGCAAAGGCTGGAGCCATGTGCCCAGGGCTGGTGGCTGCTCTCCCAGGGAGCAGGGAGCTGGGCTTCTGGCCTTCAGGGCCACAAGGGCTTTTCCCATCATTTTAGCTGCGTCTCTTGTGCTGCTTTGTCTTGGCAGCCACAGAAAGCTGGACACAAGCGCATAGTGGGAATCCCGCGCACTCTTTCTTGAACGAGAACGTGATACAGGAGGGAAAACCGATGCTGAATGGCTAGCAAAGCACTCGTTTAGCCTCTAGGAGGGCGTCCGGGGCCGCCTGCGACCCAACACAAACCAGGAAGCTGACCCACAGGCAGGGTAAGAGACGCACCCAAAGGGGGGCGCTGTCAGGGTCAAGCTGGAACCCAAACTGCGCCGTAGCCTGTCCCCACCGTGCCCGCCGGGGCCTGCACAGTTACACATGTGCTGTTTGTGTCTGGGGATGTTGCTGGGGCAGCCGGACCTGGGGGACCTTGTCCCACTGTCCTCTGAGCAGCTGCGCCTCCCACGCTGTGCAGGAGGCGCCAGCCCAGGAACCCGCATCCTCTGCTCCGGTCCCCTTTGCTGCCTCTCCCACTGCACCCACTCGTGCTGCTCAGTTTGCACCGTGCCTGGTGTCACCTCTCCTCTGTACACGTCAGCCTGTCCTGTGGTCACAGTCTATTGCCAGGACCCCCTCCCTGGGGACATCCAGCTCTCTGCCTGACTCTGCCTCATCTGCACACGATCAAGGGGAGAGAGACAGAGACAGACAGACAGAGAGCAGAGGAGACAGAGAGAGGACACAAGTTACTGTGCAGTGAATGAAAGAGGTGACATCGCCACAGGCCCCACAGACTCGAGGACAGCGAAGGGTTCCTCTTTGGGACAGCTTCCTCTCAGTAAGTCCAGTGCTTTTTGATGGAAACGGTAAGAGATGAAGGACATAAATTGTCAAAATGGCCAGAGCACATGCACTGGAATTTGACAGCCACCCGGGAATAAATGGAGTCTTCTCTCTGTTGGGGGTGGGGCTGGGACAGTGCAGATCACAAGGACAAGAGCCAGGATGGCCAGGTGGTAAGACATGGCCATAGTCACCAGTGTGAACTACTGTCCTGCTTTCTGTAGCCACGGGGTCACCTGTGGAACTGTTTGCAGACATATACCCACACACAGTTGTGTCGGCTAAGTCAGGCCATGACTGCCCTAATGCAGGCTGTAGCTGCTAGTCTCCTGGTCTGCAGCAGCAGGAAGCAGAGCTGTGCGCTGGGCCTGGAGAAAGACCCACGATGTGAGCCAGGACATCACACAGTGTGGAAGGGGCTCATGAGGAAGGTGGCACACACACACACACACACACACACACACACACACACACACGGTCTAGGGCTGGCCAACAGCACACACAGCCAATGGAGAGAACACCCCTGAGCAAAACCGGAAACACTCAAGGAGCAAAATCCAGTCCTAAGGGATTAGATCCCAATGCTGACCAGTCCACCCTTGGGTGAGCAGAAGATGAATCAGCAGATGAGTGGGAAAAGAGACACAAGCCCCGGAGCCTCGGACTCCGAGGATCACACACTGCTCTGGGCCCTCACTCTTGTGCAGCTGTGCCTGGGGGGGTGCAGAACAGGACTGGGCACAACCTGGCCACACCCTCTCTGAGGAAGCAGTGGCTCCAGTGAGAGCAGGTGCCCTGGGGTGTGACAAGCTTACACAGCTCACCCCTGCCACCTTCCCCCAAAACCCACGGCACCACTGACCCAGGAGACAGGCAAAGCAGCCCTGGGCCTCTTGAAGCCGCCAAGGTTGTCAGAAACAAAGTCTATCACACCAAGGAGCCAAGGACACACCGAGACTAAATTCCACATGGGATGCTGGGTGGGATTCTAGAAGCAAAAGGGACATCAGGTAAAAACTAAGGGAATCTGGACAGAGTGTGGACGTTGGTTACTAACTATGCACCAGTATGGGCTCATTAACTGTGATACACATCACACCTATTGTAAGAGCCAATAAAGTGGAGGAAATGAGTGGAGTATTTGTGTACCATCCTTGCAACTTCCCTGTAACCTAAACCTAAAGCATTTGCTTAAATAGTGCAACATCGATGGACGAAGTTAAGCTTAATTAAAAATTTTCCCACAAAGAAAAGTGGCTTCACTTGGGGATGCTGAGGAACATTGTAAAAGCAGCCCACACAAGCTCCTGCAGGAAGCAGTGGTGGAGAAACATTTCCCAGCCCGGTTTGCAATGCCCAGCGTCAAACTAAACCAGGCTGACACGCTAGAAAGAACAAAGGCCTGGTTCCCTTTAGCAGCCTTGATGCGAAAGCTCTGGACAGAGCCTCACCAAATGGCAAAAGCAGTGACAGAGATGCAATCAGCCTTCAGGACTGTGGATTTATTCCCAGAACGCAGGGTTAGTTTAACCTTCGAAATCACTCAC